CTTCACCAGAGCTGCAGACGCCACACAGCTGGGGGCAATGACGACGCACCAGATGACGGGGATCTGGAGAGAAGCTGACAGGCGGGGCGATGGGGTGGATCTAGCTAGATGAACTGGACCAGGGACAAACGTGTCTATTTCCTTATTGACTTACTCCTGCAGCGGGGTGGGGAGAGGGAAGGGAAGCAACCCCTCTCCGGCCACTGCCTCTCAGCCCCCTGAGACCCCCCCCAGGCTGGGGCGGCCCCTGGGCAGGGCAGGGCCGGAGGCAGCGCCCTCCAGTGCCGGCTCCAAAGGGGCCCAGGTCATGGCCCACAGCCTGGTGGGCAGGGGAGGGGCAGCAGGATCAGTGCAGCCTCGCAGCCCACGTGGAAGGCCCCTTATCCCCTCCCTGTTAGAAAGTGTGTGCTCCTACCTGGGACAGCAGGGGCGGGAGGAGGAACGGGCACGTAGGGGACATGGGGGGCTTGGCAGGGGTGGTATGAGGACCGCTGCGCAGCCCGTGAACCCCAGGCCCTGGAATCCCTGACTTCCGGCCAGGTGGCCTTGGATGAGTGTCCCCCTGGGCCTCAGGTTCCTGCTCTGAAGAGTGGGCTGTCGCAGGTACCCTACCAACCTTCAAAGGACAAAGTGACAGCACACCTGCTGGTGTGAGTGACTCCAGAGTGGTGGGCAAAGAGCACACCAAGAGAGCCGCTCTGTGACTGCAGAAATTACAGACAGGACCTGGCCATGCTGGCCTGGAGCCAGAGTCCTAGCGATCCACCACCCCCACCCCCGGCTGCCCCGCCTGGCACCGGGCAAGCACTGGGTCTGGCTCCCCTTCTTCGGGCCAGAGTCCTAGCAGCGGGAGCCCACACAGAGCTCTGCTGGTCACAAGGACCCCACACCACCTCCTTACCCAAGAGCGCTGAAAAGCCAGGCTGGGATAGGGCTGCCTTGGTGGCCGTTGCTCAGCGTGAAGCCAGGCTGAAGTTGAGGCGCCCCAACCCTGGAGGAGGGGGAGCCCCCATATGCCCTGCAGCCTGCCCTGTAGGTGCAGCCTGGCCAAGCTGCTGGGGGCACCCCCAAGGTTAGCAGGCTCACCCCTTCCAGCCCTGTCAGACAGCAGCTGAGCCCAGGGAAGAGCCGAGCTCCGCCCTGGAGCGCCTGCCCAACCAGGCAGGCAGGAGGGAAGGGACAGACTGAAGGTGGGAGCAGAGGAGCAGAGAAGGTCCCCATCACCCACAGACAGCCCATCGTGGAGCCAAGGAAGCCAAGGGCCCCATCCCAGTGACGGGAGAGGCTGGCCAGCGGGGTCCAGGAGGGCCCTGGGGTCGGGACACACCGGGCTGCTTCCGGGCAAATGGGACCTCTCCTAAGAGAAAAAGCTTGAAATCCCACTGATGGATTCATTCCTTTGTTCTTTTAAAAAGCACAAACCTGCTGGGTGCAACGGTACAGGCCTGTCATGCTAGCCACTGAGGAGGCTGGGGCAGGAGGATCAAGAGTTCCAGGCCAGCTGGGGCAACTTAGTGAATCCATGACTCAAAATTTGCAAAAGGGCTGGGGTTCGGCTCAGGGGTAGAAGGGGTGCCTCGTGTGGGCTGGTTCCCCAGGATTGGAGAAAAACACAGCCCTGTCAGAGCCTCCCCTCCAGGGAGGTCTGTGTGGAGGGGAACAGTGCTGGAAGCTGGGCCTGGAGAGGCGCGCAGGTGACGACAGCCCTGAACGGATTCCTTTCCACAGGAGCACCTGCCTCTGCCGCTCGGCTCTGATTTGCCAGAGGCCTCAGCACAGCTGCCAGCCACCAGCTGCCGCCTCCTGTGGACTAGGGGGCACAGCCACTTCTTTTCCCTCCTTCTCCCTTACTTTTTTTTCTTTTTAAAGTTAGTTTAACTTTCTTTCTTTCTTTCTTTTTTTTGAGACAGAATCTCACTATTAGTTCAGGCTGGCCTTAAATTTACTATGTAGCCCAGGCTGGCCTCAAACTTGTGATGACCCTCCTGCCTCAGCCTCCTGAGTGCCAGGATTATAGGTGTGCACCATCACACCACTAGTTTAACTTCTACAAAAGTAGCCCCATTTTATTTTCCAGTACTAGGGATTGAACCTTGGGCCTTTGCACTAGGCTACATCCCCAACCCTTTTTCATTTAATTTAATTTAATTTTGTCTTGTTTATCTTTGAGACAAAGGTCTTGCTAAGTCACTAAGTTGCCCAGGCTAGGCTTGAACTTGAGATCCTCCTGCTTCAGCCTCCCAGAGTGCTGGGATGACAAGTGTGTGCCACCGTGCCTGGGACCCACGGACACATTTTTAGAAGTCAAATAGTCCTTTGTTCCTTAGGAAGAGCAACCAGCTGTCCCCTGCCCCTCTCGGCCCTGCTTTCACTTACCTCTGCTACCATCCTACAGATTGAAGCTGGCGATCTTTCCACTTCGGGTTTTGTCCACTGACTTCCCAGCACAGGAGACAGACCTCAGCTTCCCCAGGATTTAACAGCCCCCTCGCACTGAGTCTCTCCCCACTGCCTCTATGCCTCCCCTGCAGCTTCTCTGCTCCCCAGGTGCCATGCCACCCTCTTCCTTGACTTTCCTCCTCACTAGAGTGGCCCTCGCCCCCTGACTCCTTTTTCCACCCCCCAAAGGCCAGCACGGCGCCCGGTACCTAGCGGGTTCTGTGGACGGTGGAGGCCGGAAGGAAGCGAACACAACGTCCGGTCTCAGGACTCACCACGGCACAAACACCGAAGCGGCCGTGCGGCCAGGGTGCCGTGGGGACGCGGCGGAGGGTGGGGGAGGCGACCGCTGACCCCGTGCTTGCTCATGCCTGCCATTGCCATCTTGAAGTTCTCCATGCGTCTTGAACAAGAGCCCCACCATTTCATTTTGCACGGCACAAAGTGTGTAGAGTGGGATTCGCTCCTGTCCACTCAAGGTGGAAAGAAGCCAAAATCACACACGCCGTTCTGAGCCACCTTCTTCCCAGCCCCGCTCGCTCCTGCTGCTCCAGCCACCCGGGGCCTCACCTGCCTCAGGGCCTTTGCTCTTGCTGTGCCTCTTCCTGGTAGCCTCTCCCTGCCCATCCGCACACCCACAGTCTCCCCTCCTGCTTGAGGCCTTCCCCGACTTCTTCCCCAGCACATCCTGCCCTTCCTCTGCCCTGCTTTTTCTCTGCCACTGGCTCCCATCCGCCTTCTACTTACTGACATTGGGGTGCTGTATGCCGACATCCAGGGCTTGTCAGTTCCCGCCCCTGCGCAGCATTTGCACCCAGATCCGAGCCTGGTACTGAGAGGCTCAAGACTCAGCAAGGGCCGATGGAGGACAAGGCGCTGTGTCCCACCCGCTGTTCCTCAGATGAGGTGCCAGATGCCTAGAGTCTGAGCTCGGGAAGAGGAGCCAGGGCCTCCAGATCCTCCCCACGGGCACCGAGAGTCCTGCAGGCACATTGGGCTCCTGTTGGACAGTGAGGCTGGGGCTGCCGCCCGACAAGCAAACACAGGACCCCATTTAGTCAGAGTCCAGGGAGTAAATGTCCCCCATGGCGTCCCTCACTGAGGCCGAATTCAGCTGGAAGGAGCAGCTCATGTTTAGTTTGCTTTCCAGTCGCCACAGCTACGAGGACTCAGCTGAGGTCACCCGGGCCCATGTCTTCCCCACAAGGCCCCAAGCCCAGGCCTGATTTGATTTCCTCCTGGGAAGACACGGAAAGGACACCAGCGTGAGGCCGAGGCCCGGAGCACTGGAGAGCGGCTGTCTGGGCCTGCAAGCAGCCCCCTCTTTTTCCAGCCTGAGAACCTGGGGTTCGGTCTTCGGCCCTGGCCCTGCCCCAGAAGGCCGGGCACTGGGGAGCCAAGATGAGAGACAGAAGAAAGCTTGCTGGGCCTTAGGGGTGCCCCGGGGTCGGGGGACCTCGTGTCCAGGTTCTCTGTGCCCACTGCAGCAGCTCCTCGGGACGCCCAGGGGCCTCTGAGACCGGTACTCAGAGCGGGGGCCCTGCCTTGGTGTCCTGTCTGCAACCCGGGGTGACCAGCACCTCCCATGAGGCCCAGGACGACCGCGAGCTGCCGCACAGTAGCAGCCAGAAGAGTGCGGCCCGGGCATCGCTGCGTCTGTGGACGCTGCTGTTACGCGTGAGACCTGCTCTGGCCACCGGGCCCCAAGCAGCCCCGCCCTCCTGGGGCCCCCAGTCCCCTGCGAGGTCTTCCTGGGGGCACAGAGGGGCCGGGGCAGCGGGCTGCCCAGAGAACCTCGCCAGGCCAGGGCAGGAGCCACGGAGGAGGCCGGGTGTCACACGGCCCTGTGCCCAGCTCAGCAGAAACTGGGCCGGCGGTAACGGGCTGGCAGCCCGAGCTGCAGCCGACTTCATTTTCTGCCACAATTAAACGATCGCTGTGTTTGCTGCACTCGCTCACTCACTGACCGTGACGGCCCTGAAGGACTCTCGGAGAAACAGCACAGACGGCTCGAGCCGCCACCCCGGGCCGTCATCTGCCCCTGCTCTGCTGCCGGCCTGGACCCTCCTTCCTGAGAGGGGTCCGTGTGTGTGGCCCGGTCCCCCGGGAAAGCATCCCCCCAGCTCCCAGCACCCACGCCGGCAAGTAAACGCCCAGCTGCAGGGTTGGCGCGAGTGGGCCTCCCCTGCCTTGTGGGGGTCTCCGGGGCGCACCCTGGCTGGGCCGCCACAGACTCGAGTGGGAGTGGGAGTGTCCTGGCTTCCGGCAAGAATAGGGGCAGCTTTCTCCACCCTGGTGCTCTGAGGCCGCCCCAGCCCCCAGAGATGCCTCACTCTTCTATGTCCCCCCTCCACTTCCTGTCTGGGGACTCCTACACACCCTGCAAAGCCCAATTTGTATGCCCTAACTCCTAGGAGGCCTGCACCCCTCACACACAAGGAGCAAGTAGATTAGCCTGTCCCATAAGACCTCATGTGTCCTAGATTTGGGGGACACTCCCTCCACCCAACTCAAATATGCTGAGCCATGACATAACCATGAATCAGAATTCAGGGTCAGAAGTTGTGGCCACCCTGGGTCCCCAGAAGGGGGCCGTCCCCCGGAGTCTGGCTCACCACCGTCTTCCATCACAGTAACAGGAGCTGGGGGGGCGCTGTGTCAGGCGCCATGTCAGAGGCTTCTTGCTTGCACAATGCCATAGGGAGCTCACCACCACCCAGGGAAGTCAGCCCTGGTTGCAGATGAGGAAACGGAGGCCTGGCTTGGGCACGAAGTAGGAGCTCACCCACAGTCCAGCAGCTGCTGCAGCAAGAGGAGCCGGCCTTCATGGGCCACGGGTTCAAGCCCAGCTCTTGCTGTGGCCACTGCAGGAGGGTCTTTCCAGGCAGGATGCCGCCAATCCTGCAGTCAAGTGAGAAGGGAGGGCAGGGCTGCTGGGCTCTGCCGCTCCCAGGTCCTGCGGTTTCCATGGAGCCGGCAAAGCTGTTAAAACCCAGGTGGGAGCAGGGGATCCTTGTGGCAGCCTGGACCTCCCCGCCAACAGGACAAGTAACCCGCTGGCCCCTTCCTCGGCCGCTGCCACCCAAGGCCTCATAATTTGACACAGGGGCTGTTAGGGGCAAAGGAGATGCGTTGCAGCACGGAAGGTGCCCATCTGGGGATCAGGGCTCCCACGGACGTCTTTCATGGGTTAAAAATCCAGCAGCACCCACTATCCGGACTGCCGTCTCAGAGGGGAGCCGCACACCCAGGTCCTCTGTGTCCCCTGCCCTGTGCGGCCCTTGGGGCCTCGGCCAGATGTGAGTGGGAGAGGTGGACAGGAACCCAGAGTTGCTGCAGAAACTGCTCCCTGCCCAGCACCCAGACCCGGTCTGTGCTGGCCATGCAGCCTGCCTGGGCCAGAACAAGCCAAGGTCGGCTGGGGCTGCCCGACTGTGTGGGTCCCAGTCCTAAGGAGCAGGGAGGACTCGGTCCAAAGGTCAGCTCTGCCACAGGCCAGCTGTGAGTAGGCCGCTCTCTGCCTCGGTTTCCTCTGCTGAAAGATGAAGGCGATCGTGGCCTGCGGAGGCTGCAGGGAGCATCAGGACTTGCAGGCACCATGTTCAGCCCAAGTGAGTGTCCAGGCGCAGACTTTCGGCACCTGAGACCTGAGTGATACAGTCCGGGCTGCTTCGCAGGCGAGGAGAGCAAGTCCTGTGGCCCCCTGACAGGCACCCTGGGGGGCTCCCAGCCCTGGACCAGAGGCTGCCAGTGGGTTGGCTGGGGCCAGCTCAGGCCTGGGGACGCAGACGCGGCCCTGGGAGATCTGCAGGCCAGAGGGCTCCAGGGCTCTCTCCAAGGCAGCTTGGGCGTCTCACCTGGTGTCTCAGGCGGCTTCCCGGGCGGCAGGGGGAGGGGCAGGGGTGGGCACCGAGCTGGGTGTGGGAGAGGGGAGCCCGGCAGCGGGAGAGGGGCTTTTATTGGCACAGAAAAGTCAGCAGCATTGGTGGCAGCCAGCAGGAGCCATGGGCTGGCAGAGGCGGCTCCCAGGAGCTCGGCCACAGAGGGGGACACAGGCAGAGCGACCTATTTGATTGCATAACAGAAAGCCGACTGCCACCTCCAGGGTGTTTTGTGACCGCTGTGTCTCTGTCACATATTTGGGGCTCAAAGATGCTGCTAAATAAATGGACGAGTAACAAGTCCGTGCACGGCCGGGCCTCTGTAACAGTAAGAGATCGAGCCCGGCTGGCCCTCCCGAGTCCCGGGCTCTGTCCCGGCACAGCCAGCTGTGGCCACCTGGCCCAGTCAGGAGGTCCTTTCCCCTGTGGACCCTCAGGGCCCCCACTCTACCCTGGGTGGCTCCAGGGTTCCAGAAGGGGACCACGGTGCAGCCCAGAAGGAGAGGAAGGTGGGGTGGCAGGGTGGAGGGAAGGCTGGGGAAAGCAGGTCTGGAAACCAGGTACGCAGGGAGCGGGTTGCCCAAGCAAGACCACAACTGCATACAGGCGTTGGAGGGACAGAGGCTCCGGGAGCAGGGAGGCCTGGCCAGGTGGGGGTGTGCAAGGAACCCCAAGCCACTGTGGGGGGCCCCAGGATTCCTGCTGTGGAGCAGCACCAAACACCTGGGTGCGGGAGGCCCATGACTGTCAGCCGAGGATTCCTTGAGTTGGGGAGGGAGGGTGGCCAGGCAGGAGGCACCCCACTTTCTGGGAGCCCATCCTGCCAGGCCAGGCCCCTAGGGACACAGAGGGCACTGCAGGGGCAAACCCAGCCAGCAGCCAGGGCCAGGGGACCTGGGTTCCTGTCCGGCCACTGCCAGGGCACCGTGTGCTGGGCAGGGAGGGGAGGAATGCGTGCTGTGTGGTGCCCAGCAGGACGGGAAGCGCTGGGCCTCGGTGCCCGCCCACGGGAGCCATGCTGGAGAGGCCAGGGCCAGTGGCCTGAGGGCCCCTGGGCTGTGGCTGAGCTCCCAGGTGGATGACACACGCAGAGGCAGAAGGGACAGGGGCCCAGCACCCAGGGTGTCTTGAGCCAACGGAAGAGCTGGCCTCAGACCTTCCTGAGGCTGCTCCAGGGTCACTCAGGCCCTACGCTGCTGTCCCCACCTGCATGGTCACCGGAAGTCACCCAGCCACCCCTTCCTGCCCGCCCTGCCAGCTCTTCTGGCCCAACAGCCACCTCTATCCAGAGCAGAGCCCGTGCCAAGCTCTGTGCAATGTGGCTCTCAGCTGAAGGCAGCCCAGCTCCTGCCGGAAGCCCAGGTGGGGCCAGGCCGCCCCTCTCCCTGCTGCTCCTCCCCACAGCCTCAGCCTCCCGGCCTGGGCCTTTGTTTGTCTCCACCTAGAGCCCGCCACCCGCTTCCCCAGCTCAGGGGGCCCCTCCTGCACCCCATGCCCTGCCCACACACACTCACATTGGATTTGTGGCTGACCCCGTAATCGTGTGCCCTGCCTCTGAGGGCCTGGCCCTCGGCAGAGCTCATAATACGCGGTCAGTGGGCAGGTGGCTGAGTGGCTTTGCCTTTTTCCTCCTGAACAGGACTCAGGAAGGAACAAAGGAACCAGGGAGGGCAGGGTGAGGATCAGGGGTAGAGCATGCACTCAGCACGAGCAAGGCCCTGAGCGCCATACTCCATACAGAAAAACACAAATCACAAAACCAGGGACCTCGAGGCAGTGTGCCCTGGCGCTGCAGCCTGGCTCCCACCAGCTGAGCTGAGTTCTCCCCTTAAGACCACTCCTCCCCGCCCGCAGCAGGCAGCACCCAGCCAGCAGCTGGTCAGCCGCCCTGCCAGCCCTTCCCTGTGTCAGCTGACCTTTCCGCCCAGCCTCCTGGGCAGACTTCTCCACCGGCATTCCACAGATACCTGCTCCGATGCCAACAGGTGGGGGCCCTGAGAGACAGGACCCCGTCCTTCCGTGCTCCCCCCAGGAGGAGCCTGGTGAGCGCCCCCTGGGGGATCCACGGCCACCTCGCCCAGCTTTCGCCAGGCCCCAGTGCAGGAGGGAGGGTCTCTGGGCCGAGGTTCCCACCGTGGGGATCCCGTCTCCACACTGGGCTGGCTGGCATCCCCCTTGGGAAGGCACCGGTGTCCCCACGTGGCTGCGTATCTGGGTGCTGTGGGGTGGGGATCGAGGACAGACCAGCCCCTCTGGGGAGAGCGGTTCCCTCTTCCCAGCTCCCCTTCCCCCAGGCAATGCCCCGTCCCCTTCTCAAGCAGTCCTGTCCCCTCTGTGCCCCACACGGAGGCAGGGAGGCTGCCCTGAGCCGGGACTGCAGGGGAAGCTTCGGGTGGCAGGGGCAGGGGCTGCGGCCAGGACTTCTGCTCCCCACGGGGCAGACCCTTCCTGCAGGCCGGCACCGGGAAGAGCCACAGCAGTCCGGCGCTGTCCGAGGGCCAGCGCGTCCTATCCCCACCCCACTCCCCACGGGGCCGTGTCAGGGGCAGTGAACCCATCCCGGCCCGGGGCCCCAGAGGCCTTACCGTGCGGGAGCCTGGGTGGGTGACCCATAGGGCTCGCTCCGCCGGCCCTGGCCCTCTCAGGTGTTCTGAGTTTGCCGTGTGTATCCATGCCATACTCCGAGGCAGAGGACTTGGAAGTGGTGTTCTCCCTCCCTACACGAGGAAAACAGAGGCACAGAGAGGGAGGGACAGGGGGTCCAAGGCAGGACCAGGTCTCCTGGCCACCTCCTGTGCCACTTCCCTGAGCGCCCGCCCCACTGACCCAAACAAGCCCTCCTTTACAGGGGTCCCGCGTCCTGCTGCATCCTGGGGCGCAGGCCAGGCTGAGCCTACCTGGCAGCCAGCAGCGTCCCGCCTCCTCCCGCTGAGCGAGGTACTTGAATAAATCCTTCCCAGGCAGAAATCCGTATGGTTGTTGTCTTGTTCCCCGGCAGCCACAGGGAACAGCAATAAACTTTATGAGCGCCAGGCAGCCAGGGAGGTGGAGAGGAGGGGAGGCTGGGCGGAGCTGGGGCCCGGTCAGGTGTGGGGCCTGCCCTGCGGGGCCTGTGGAGTGGGGCTTGCCTGGGCTGCATCTGCCCTGCCTTCCTGTGGGCTTGCTGTCCCCACAGCCCCTGCCACTCACAGCACTGCCTGCCAGTGGTGACCAGCAGGGTCCTGGTGACTTCTGAGCAGTTCTGGTTGAGGATGGAAACCAGGGCCTTTTTGCACCCTTTGCACCCAGCGCTTTTATTTTTCAGTCTGAGACAACGTCTAAATTGCTAAACTGCCCTACGCTGGGCTCACATTTTCCATCCTCCTGCCTCAGCCTCCAGGAGTGCTGGAGTGACAAGGTGCGCGCCCTTGCCAGCTGGTTTGTGAGCTTCTTAAAGACTCCTGCAGGAGAACTGCAACTGTCTCTGGGCCCTTGGGACAGGCCCCAGGCAGAATCAGGGTGGTGGGTGCTGGCTCTGTCCCAGCACCCTTAATCCCTCTGGGGCTTTCCCGGCTCAGTGTGTGGGCTGCTGCCCCCTGCTGGAGAGCGGCTGGGTTGCTGAGAGATTCAATTCAGAGCTGGCCAGCAAGGCCCTGGTGTGAGAGCGCGTGCACACACACACACACACACACCACGCGAGCATGCGCGTCGCACGTTATTCTGTACCGACCTTAAAAAGCTGTCCCTTTCTCACGGCCATACGGCTGCCACGCTAACCCTGGCAGCACCTTGCGTGTGGCGCGCAGGCCGTTGGTGCAAGAAAGGCGTCCAACCAGGGAATTGGAGGAAGGCAGCCTGCGTGGAGAGGGCCGTGGGGCTGGGAAACGTGCGGGAGGCCTGCGCGCTTGGCCCCATCCAGGACCTGGGTGCCCCTTTGAGAGGCAAGGTTGGAGCAGTGAGGTGCGGGTGCTGTCTGAGGGTGGGGTCCCGCGGGCGGGGGCGGCACCCTGCCCCCCTCCCCAGCCATCCCCCCGTCCCTCCTGCGGCGCCTGCCTGGGACTCATCGCTACCCCAGGTGTCCCCACCTTGACAGCCAGAAGGGGACACTGCTGGTGCGGCTGAGCACACCTGTCAGAGGCTGAAGGGCTTCTAAACTAATAATCGCTGTATTAAAATCGAATTTGGTCCCGAAGCTGGAAAAATGTCGGGAGATTTTAAATGTTAAGAGAAAAGGTGGAGGGAGATCCCCTCTCAGAAGATAAAATCAGCTTGGAAATAAGTTTCCGTGGCTGCAGAAGAGGACGCACTGCCGTATGGTTCCGGACATCCAGCCTCCCCCGGAAACAGACGCTTTCCAAAAGCGCATCCTTCAGCCTGGGCATGCAGAAGGTGATGTGTGAATTCCCGCAGCCCCGGTATTGATCCACGGAGCGGGGAGCCGCTGGGGAGGGCGCTCCATCTTCCCGCCCTGGAGTCATTTTTAGAATGGGTTTCAAAATGCCTTTTTCCCCCTCTGGAAAATCAGCGTGTGCCCTTCCACCCAGGATGGTCCCAGATGGTGCCAACCCCCCGCCATGCGAGAGACTCCCATTACATCCTAAGCGCTTTTAAATGGGTTTCGGTCCTCTTGTCTCTAATAGATTAAAAAATGCTCCCTTGGGCACCACAAGGACATTGAACAGTACTTGTCCTGAACCTCCAGCTCCAAGGCGCCTGTGAGATCCAGAGCTTGGAAGGGGCGAGGGCGGCCATAAACCACTCTGCTCTGGGCTTGCACAGCCTGCCACGCTGCCACTGCAGACTGCTTCTGCTGCCAGCTCTTCGCGGATGCCCTGCCCACACCTGGGATTTAAAGAGATGCGCTCCTCTAGGCGGCCGGGCCTCTGTGATCTGGGAGCCTGGGAAACCTCATCCCTGACACCGGAGGGCTGTGGCAACCGTAAAGGGGACCAGGCTGGGCGCTGGTCCTCCCCCGGGCCTGCCCATCTGGCACGCGCCCCATAGCAGGCTGAGCCAGCCTCTGCCCTGCGCCACCCCTTCCGCATTCGGAGCAGTAGCTCCCCTCCCCTTCCCACCGGTTCTGCTCTTTTTCTTTTGGAGGAAGGAGCCCAGGCCTCGTCCGGGTTGGCCAAGCGCACAACCACCCAGCGGCAACTGCAGCCCCCCAGACTTGCTGCTCAGCTTCATTTTCTCCCTGCCAGTCCCTGTGCAGACCTCATTATACTTTTAGTGTCTGTTGATTGAGAAAACAGACGATGACAAAAAACCTCTAGGAATTCAGTAATGCCTTTAAATGAATTTGTGTTTTGGTAATCACCAAAATGCTCCAATACACTGGAGAAATCATACTGCTGCTTGGGCACTGCGTTTCTAGTCTGTGGAGCTCGTCAATATAGTGTGGTACTGTACGGGCACCTCCAGGACGGTGCCTGTCCTGAGGCCAGGGCCTCAGACTGGGCCCCCAGCGCTGTCCTAGACCAGGGCACCCAGAGGGAGCCAGAGTGGCATGGCGGGCACTCGGCACAGGCGGGGCTGGGAGGTGAGTGCGGTGGGCAGCGACCGCAGACCAAGAGGCCCATGGCTGCAGCCACACGCTGGTTCTGGACACTCAGACCCTCAGCTTTTCCAACACTTTCCACCTGAAAACTAGAACCTTGGTTTCCCAAGGTTGTGAAGCCAGTGGCCCACAGTCCACACCTAACAGGAATGAATGTTACATGAAATATGTTTGTGCGGGGAATAAGTGAGCACCTGACTCGCTTAAAGTTGTTTTCCGCCAAGTGCCACACTGGGCCGGACTCTGAGCTGTGCTGCATGACAAACACCTCCGCCAACCTGAGTGACCCCACAGGGCAGAGGTTCCCCTGTCCGTGGGGCTATGCGCACTGGACTTGCCACCCGGGCACCCAGGCGAGCAGCCGCTGTGCCTCCAAGCCACTATAGCCAGGAGGGGACCAGGATCCCCTCCTCTCCACATCCTGTTGGCCAAAGCACATCACGGGGTCACGCTTGCTTTCAAAGCCAGGATCCAGCCAGGCACAGCACCACAACCACAGCCAGCCAGCAGCTCCCGGACAGCAGGCGCCTGTGGAGTTCGCACCTTCGCAGGTGTGGCTTTGGTCTTGCTACCACCTCCCCTACTCAGGGCAGCGCATTTCCCATCACGTTGGGCACAGCAGACTGGCAGTGACAGAACGGGGACCAGCTGCCATGTGCCCGACATCAGGGGGTCTCGGGGCCCTGAACCCTGGGACTCGTATGTCCCCAGCTCCAAGCCCACTCTAGTTCATGGGGGCAGAGCTGGCCATCCCTCGGGCACCGTGGACTACAGAGCGGGTTTGTCCCGACACAGCAGTCCAGGGACCCCCAGTGCCAGCCTGATGGCCACACCCACTGGCAGAAGTTAGCCCTTGAGTGTCCTGGAGCGAGACCCCATGTTCCCTCACACAGTGGTGGGACAGGAGGACACAGGGACCTGGGTCCTCTGTCCGCCCTGTCCCTGTCCTGCTCCCCTCGGGAAGGGCGCTGGGCAAGGCGCCTGGGCTGCGTGGCAGAGGGAAGCAGTGTGGGCCGCAGAGAGGGACTTCCGACTCCATCAAAGCTTGACAGGAGCTCGGGGCGTTCGGCACCTGTCAGGTGGGAGTGGGGGCCTCGCCTTCCCTCGCCTGGGTGACTCAGCCTCCTAGAATATCCAGGCGGTACACAGCCTGCGTGGTGGAGACTTCACCTGGAGTCCTGTGCGTCCTGCCGCCCAGGCCCAGAGCAGGCACCTGCTCGCTCCAGACCTCAGGAAGCCCTCGGGACCTGGGGACAGACCTGGCCCTGACTCCCTGCAGCCCTCACTCCTAGGGTGCAGAACATGGCCAGGAGCCGAGGTCCAGTTGCAGACAACTGACTGTGTGGGGCAAAGAGGGCACAGACCTCAGCAGCCGTCCAGCTGCACCCCCAGGTCGGGGTCTCGCTTCCTGGCCGTCAACCCCAGCTTCCCTTTGACGCATGGGCTGCCCAGACATGGGCTGGGCGCGGTGCTGCTCCGTGATGCTGGGGCGGGTCCTCCTGGCCCCGTGCCCCCTAAGAGTGCACAGCCAGGGCCCCAACGTCTGACTTCGGAGGGGAGGAGAGGCAGCCTCTGTGGGATCAGTCAGTTCAGGGGAGGAGGGCGCCCACAGGCGGGTGGGGGACAGGCTGGACGGGAGTGCGGTCCAGGGGAACAGGATCACCTCACTGCCAGGGACTCGGGGACTTTGGCAAGTCCCACCTTCAGGGCTCAGCTTCCTGGCTTGTGACATAATCAGTGACAACCTCAGCTTCCCTGCTGCACGGCCTGGTGTGCCTGGCCAGACCCTGCTCTCCACACCAGCTGAGCACACCAGGCTCGTTTCTTAACCTCTCTGTGCCTCAGTTTCATCTGTGAAACGGGGCTGTTACCCTGATCACCACCAGACGGTCGTGAGGCTCGAGTGGGTCCATCTACAGGAAGCTCCTAGAACGCTGCTGACACACAGCAAGCGCCACATGTGTGTGTGCATGTGTGTGTGCGTGCGCGTGTTCGTGCATCACCACCTAGCCTTATTACTTCGGCCCTGTGCCCCCACTGTGAGGTGACGTCACATTCTGAGGGCGCCCCGGGGAGGCAGGGTGCGGGAAGAGGAGGGCAGGGGGGCTGCCCGGTGCGGCCGAGGGGTGCGGCTGGCACAGTCAGCAAGGCCA